TTTTCAATAAGAAGTAGAGTCGCAAAAGTCTATTTGGTTGACCGTAATTTGGAGGGTTGGTTCTAAGCACTGCGCGTTTAGTTTTGAACAGAAAATTGAGCTATGAAGTGGGTGAATCTATGTACTCATACTATTTTCATCGCTTCCTCATACAATTCACGGAACTTCCAAGAATGCAGCAAAACTCCTGAAGCAGTCAGTGTGTGCACTAAACTCAGCAAATTGCACTGAGTTAAGTTGCGGTGTCAACGTATACCATAATGTGTCCAGAAAATTGCGCAGCTGGAACATTCACGAAATCTGGTAGGTGAGGAAACCTAGTCAAGTGCAATAGTAAAAGGCCAAAAGATACCACCTTTGACAGGGTCAGATTAATGAACAGCAATAAACAGGTCCTCATTAATATGCATAACCTTAAGCTACGCTTTACTGCGCTTTGCATGACACCAGACCGCAAGTTGAAAGCATTCAAAATGGCTATCCAACAGCGGTGCACGGTCCAAACCATCATAAGCTGAAACTGAATCCGTTTGTGGTTCACGCACATTCCAATCACTGCGTCAACGCTATCCTGCATGGTCCGTAGACGCTTGTTTATATGTTATAATATTTTCCGGTTGGGTCTGACCTCGTACACGCGCGGCACCAATGTTGGCATCAAAGTCCATATTGCAAGACCATAAACAAAAACATACAGTGGGCTGGAGATGTACGCTGTTCGTTTGGACATATCATAACATGGTAGGGTCTACAGCGAATAATGTTAACTTTATCCTCAGTCATGTGGCAGTATTATGGTAAACCCTTATCTACGAAATCTTATAAGCCGCAGCTGATCAAGTAGCTATTTTTTTCGATCGCGTCAGCGGCTACGGTTAAATGTGGATAGAATGTTTTTCTGTTCCTAAGCCAACCAGCATTCAGTGACATCCAGGGTTTCCTAGCTGGATATATTCCTCACCGAAATTACCCTGAATATGTTGACTTTCAATCGGCATAATGTTTTTTAGGTTTCCAATATGATTTACAAACTCACGAGATATTTTACATTTAAATAAGTTTCATTCATTACAGGTGCTTGCTGAGTGCGGCTCAATATGCGTGTTCTGCACTATGGAGCAAGATTCTAATATGTCCATTGTTATGCAACATTAAACGGATTTGACATTCTTGCAAAACAAAGGCGCTCCAAAGACAAATTGATTTTACTCAAGTATTCAAACAAATTTAACCGGTCGGCAGTGTGAAATGTGGGGTTTTAGACCTAGTTATCAGTCTTTATTAGAATATATTTTGTTGGAATGTGTGTCGATATCATCATTCGTACAATCTTATCGGCATGTACGCAATAGGCTTTTTGGCGTACACCTGTGTGGCATGTATACTGGCCGTTCCCTCAGTATATTATGCAACAACTCTTATAGTTATGCTCACTTAAATCTACTTACTTAAATCTACTGTTTATAGTTGTTTTCCAGTGTAAACACCGACAGTAATATCATGTTTGAGGAAAACATTGCAACAGGATGATCAACCGAAGCCTTTCACTGGAATTCACAGTACATCAAACAATTTAGATCTAACGAACCAGAAGGAGTATACCCATTTTTTCACTTCATATAAAGCACACTCGATTATGCGGGCGGCGTCTTCTGCTGGCCACTAAACGATTTACTCGGTACAATCATGAGTCTAGGCTGTCTAAAGTGTCCGTGTCTCATGTATTCTGTGATTTTGACGTAGCTGCGGAAACCTTGCGTCAGAAAAAACAGAAATGTATCTAGCTGAGTGTGCGACAGGACAGATTCAAAATGTGTCCAAAATGGTGTTAGCAAGACCGTCTGTTCAAGGACAAGAAACTCACTCTTGCTTTGTCACTATCCGGACATCTAGCCATTGAATTTGCCCCATCAACTTTTTTCGACTTACACTGCGCAACTCAGACTCCAAGATTTTATCCCTAAGCAAAGTACCGTTAATTTTTCGTAACCAGCCCATACTATGCGTACAAAACCAATTGAAGCAAACTGTTTGGTTGCGCTTGTTTTGATCAGGTGACTCGGAGAATGCTGTCAACCATTGTTCGTTCAAAAGTATTTGTCGTGTATTTTAATAACTTGTGTGTCATAAGTCCACTAGTGAGATGAGAAAAAAATTAGCATGTAGGGGCATGTTTTCTGTCAATTTTAACAAGTCCCTGGTCAATTTTAAAATTTCAAGCTTATTTTCCGGAAAGCTAGGAAGACTGCCTCACCCATTACGACTATAAATTAAACAGAATTGAACACAAACAGAAGTGGAAAATAAAAATACAGCAGAATATGAATAGAAATTGAACATTACCAACTGAAAATTTACAAGTAACTCATCGGTTGCAGTGCTGTCAAATATGACCTTTCTTAGTTTAAAAGTTATCACGCAGTATTTTAATGACAACTTCAAAAATGGGGAAACACTAGGCCTGGGATATTGCCAAGTTTCCCGAGCCTAGACAGGGGGAGGTGAAATGCGGAGTTTGGGTTCGAACCACGGACGTTCCCATCAGTACATTCACGCTCTAACCAATAACCCATTTTGCCATTATGATAGCTTGCAATAAAATAAATATGCGATCCTCAGAACGTCGGGCATTCATCAGTTATTCTACGTTGCTGGATAAATTCGTCTACTGCCGAAAAAACTCAAAATTCAAGAGTATATTTCAATTAACTGGTGCCGTAGATTGTAAACTCTCTTCTGTGTAGGCTTCGTTGCCCAGGATTCACCTTTTTAGTACATTTCAAAATTGGTACCTTTGAACAAATTGCCAACAGCAGACACAGATCTCACAAGCGTTAAAGTATCAATGATCGTTTTACTTCCAATAATAAGTTTGTAGTTCCAAGGATCTTCAGGTACCTTTTCGGCGAAGGACTGCTATGCAAGTGCCGAATGAAGTTGTTCACCGATGGCATGGGTAAGGATGAGTGAAATGGCCTAACCCTTCAATGCGTCATTTATCGAATCTGCCGATTGGGCTTAATTCATCATCCTGACGATAAGTCTCTAGGCAATCTCATTTGCACATGTAAAAGAGCGAAAACTGTATGATCATCTGTCTAACTGCACTCTGAATGTAATTTAGCGCCGCATATGTTATAAATGAACACAACCCTCATAAAGGGAACTACATTCAGGGTTGCTGAAAACTTTTCGACAGCCCACGACCGGTTTCGTCCTTCTTGGGGCTCATTAGGTAGGCGCAGTCCCCGAGTTTCTGTCAACCTTATGTTCTACTTGAATCAAAATTGCACTGTTTTCGAGAAATGCACTCATTTGCAAATCGATTTGATTTTTACGAGAGACTCAACTGAATCACTTGTTTATGGTATTCTACAACTGAATGTGCTGCACACAGACCGCCTCATGTTTCAGTTGCCACGGTATTCAAGATATCATAGTATTTTTTCATAAATTCCCCAAACAGCGAACACGAACAAATAAAAGGAAATAAGGCTGATGAAAACTCGGGGACTGCGGCTACCTGATGAGCCCCAAGAAGGGCGACACCGGTCGTGGGCTGTCGAAGAATTTTCAGAAACCTTGTGAGTAATTTCTTTTATGAAAATATACTGCAAGATCTCAAATATCGTGCTAACTGAAACATGAGGAGGCATGTGTGCAGCGCATTGTAGAATATCATAAACGAGAGCTTCAGTTAAGTCTCCCGTGAAAACCAAATTGAAACAAAACCTCATTGTAATGACGCACTAAATCGAGTAATGCACTCGAAATACACCCGAGTTCAGGCAATGGAAAATATCGAATTTTATGGACTCCACACACTGAATGAGTCCCAAGCTAGCAGAAAACCGCATCGTGCTGCCGGCAGAATTTAGTCAATTGTCAGTTAAGTTCCCGTGAAAACCAAATTGAAACAAAACCTCATTGTAATGACGCACTAAATCGAGTAATGCACTCGAAATACACCCGAGTTCAGGCAATGGAAAATATCGAATTTTATGGACTCCACACACTGAATGAGTCCCAAGCTAGCAGAAAACCGCATCGTGCTGCCGGCAGAATTTAGTCAATTGCTTAACACTACTAATAGAGAGACGGGGCCAAACCATCAAGGTTAGTTATGACCTCATTTATGCCCTTAAGCATTCTGCTGCCAAGCTCCAAGTGTTTTTTATATTAAATGGAAGGAACACCGAAAAAAACTCAATGTTTGTGGACAAAAAAAAGCAGCAACTGATCAGTGCCTGGTTGTTGCTTGACTGGCTGCTGACATGCTTGCCCAGCTTGATAATTAGTATGCGAACCGTTCGTCACCAACGATTGGCTGTGCGACTTTTCGATTGAATTACCACGCTCGGCGAGCAGATCAACAACCACCTGTTTAACGGCCAATAGATATTTCGACATAATACCAGCTGGCCAGTTACGTTAACTGGCCAGATCCAGTTGGTATGGTCAGTGGGATCCCAGAAAACCTTCCTTCCTTTGGTGCTGCATCAGCGTGTCGGTGGGGCTTGAGTTGATATCACCGCTATTGACTTGTTTAAGGACATTGGCTGGAATATCAGTTGAAACTCAGCGTATGTGCTACGGCAGTCTACCCGAGAGGAATGAGTACTTAATTGGTTACTTAATATCTTAACAGTTCTCGGATACGCCTGTTAATTTTGCGAGCAAGTATCCAATGGTGAGAGACTGCTGGCTGGCTTAGAGATGTGGCTTTAATTTCCGGGCCTTCACTGCTTTTATCCGTTACGAACAGAATGAAGATGGTTCAGTGAATGCTATACAATAGCCTGCTAGCAAAAAGCCACCGCAAATGAGCATGTAGAGGCGTCAGCTGTGGATGACGGTACAACTGTTTGGAGGCCTTGGTAATCAGTACCCAGTCACATTCAATGATGCTTCTGTAACTAAGCGGTTGACTCACAGTACACAACAAGATGTTTTCTTTTTCCCATATGCAACCCAAAAAGTGCGCATAATTTAAAACTCACGGCCCAGTCGTAGAATCCTCTGAATTCGCTTTACCGCCTGCTTGGAGTATCTGACGGGTAGCTGTGACACTTGACAGAAACCGGCCCAGTTAGGCCTCCGGATGAAAAATATGTAAGGTGTATTCAGCTGTGCATCAATCTGACATCTTCCCAAATCAGGATATACACTGAACTGCCCCACTCGAATGAGATACTGTTCACGGATTGGAAACAGGCTCGCGGGAGTTTCTTTTAATACCTGGGTAACGTACACACTGATATTATACATGGGTCCATACCGTCTTCGATAGGTTTCAAGTGGCAACCCAACAATGACATTGTCCGCAAGCAGAGCGCTTGCCTCAACGTCATTACGAAAGCGGTAACGACAAGGTAAATGTGGAATGGACGGTTCAAACATGGTGATGTCTGGCAAATACTGAACGCCTGGGTGGTAATCCTGGTCATCGATTGGGTATGATGTCGGGTTAGTTGATTCTTGACGACTATCAATAAATGCGGAGTTTTGTAGAGTGAAAGACGAAAGACTTCTTGTTGGTAGGTAGGTAAACATGAGGAAAATGACCAAAAAAATTTGACCCAACGATCGGCGAAAGTTTGTGTTACAGGAAAACTTGGGCGATCTTGGACTTTTTGAACTCCTAGTGCAGGATGAAAGAGTCGATCGAGTACGATGGTGGCAACTAAAAGTTCTTTGGAAGCCTTGATTGTGCGTAGGATGTAGATTATTACACTTTCGGAGGAACAGCACAGACGGGTGGTGATCCGAATAGAAATACACAAGTCGAAATATTCGACTGTAGATAAGCTGTGTGGTTTTACTTGAACGAATGTAAACAATGAAAAAAGCCTCATTTTTGGGTTCAGATGGAGGAAGCATAAACAGCAAAATGCATGCAGGGTACGGATAGGCTGTCCAGGCTTTGTCCAAAACAAGGTACAGTTGTACTATTTTGAGCGTCGTCAGCCATTGTTGGATGCATACACCTTGAAAATCTGCTTCACGCGAAAAATCCGACCACGATCTCTGTGCATTTCCGGTAGCAGATCGCTCCATGCTCGTTGCTAAGATTTTCCGTTGCGTAAAATTGTAGAAGAGACGGTATTCCAGAACCAGGGCGCATTGTATTTTGTTCACCGTAATGTGATTCATGGACTGAAGGTGTGCCATCCAACACAGTGTACTCCTTGTTCTGAAATAAGTAATTTGTCTTCATTGGGATGTTCAGTCATGGTTTTGTATGAGAACACTATAATCCAGGTAGTTTGAGCAATACACTAATACGTCCAGGGACTTGTGCACACACGACTCAGTTGTACGCCCGGTCAGGCTATCAAACTAGGCTCTACTGTTTGTCTAAGGTGATATTCCTTCACCTTTGGTTCGGACAAGAAACAAAAACAAAAGCTTAACATAACATCGTCGCCACCATCCAAACATGACCCCACGACCGACGAATGATGTAACGTTTGTGTTTTCTTGTCCATGAACATGTGGAATTGTGCGTCTGGTCCAAGGTGTGTGCAGGGTGCGTCCGCTTGCATTCGATTATTAGCTTTGCTAATCGGCCACACACTAGTGTGCGGTGGCATGGGGGAGATTGGATGAAGTGCACACACACACTTACACAATACATGAACAGTGATCTGTGTGCAATCTGGTCTCATGCACACATGCCCAAATCCATTATACGTGCGTACGCGTACACACTCTCATGTGTACATACGGTTGAACAGAGGCGTCCACGTCTAAAAGGCCCTCAAACGGGAACACAACATATGCGTGATTATTGGAGATTGAGAAAACAAAAGAATAACGAAGAGGTCGGAAAGCCATCACACAAAGTGCGAGTGCACGGATGGACTAAACGAATGGTTTCTGCGTTTGGGTCACACATTGCAGCGTGGGTTTCATTGTCAAATTCAGATGTAATAAAGCCAAAAACAACGTGGCGCGCCGTTCTGGGATTTCACCGAATGTCGGCTCCAAGTTGGACCAGAGTTTGTCATGTGCGAGAACGTAAGAAAAGTTAACCAAAAAGCCAACCTCGCCCATCGCGTGGACGCGTAGGATTTACTTTACCGATCACCATTTTATGAAATTGTATTAAATGATCATGTAGGTCACTCAGCGAATTTGCGATTGAAAACCTTAAAAAGAGGTTTAGAATAAAACCAAATTTTGGTGAACAATTTTGGCTCGTCCAGCCAACAGTTCATTTTGGTTGAAAAGCATTATTTTGGAAATATCAGATATGAGACTAGGGGAATTTTAGGACAGTGGAATTTTTTCGAGCGATAAGACGACCGGTTGATTGAGCCACTGTTTTGAATAAAAGGGCTGTTGTAGCAGGAGGTGACCCAAATGAATGAATTAGACTTTACTCTAGCTATTACGTTCAGTTAAATCGATTGGGATCACTGTCACCATCGCCAAAATATAGATTAACGAATTTTGGAGCTAGCTGTTTTTCAGAAAGTTGCATGGTTTGCGAACCGAGGGTTGATTACTTCGCAGAAACGAATACCTTGCATCCACGTTCTCACAAGACAGAAGAGCTAAGGGGCTGTAGATTACAGCAAAAAGTAGTATCTGGTGGTTGTTGTTAGCGCTCGTGGTGACAAGGTGAGGTGGTATACGAGAAGCGAAAAATAGGCCTGAGGTTTTGTTAATTGGTAATTCAAAGTGTAAATTCTTCGTAGGGGGCGGATGTTCTTCGCTGTGAATATTTTCCGTCAACTCCGTTGTAGTTGTTGCCGTATCCATTTCATCCAATTTATTCTCAAGTTCCGCTTTAATACAACTGACGAATTTCAACGGAACGTGTAATCAAATAATAAAACAGGCATCTAGTTCCCCCAACGTAATGAAATTTACCAGAAACTAGTCAGAAATCAAAAGCGGTTTGTCATGGAAGATGGTCTTTAAAACAAAGGCAGCATACCTTCGCGGCTAAGCAGGCGGGCAGCAATATTCTCCGGGCGAACAACATTTTTCTTTAGGCATTGTGAGTAACGTGTTTTCTTAATCGTTAGGAGGGATTGCGACTGCAAGCTGATTGCATGTTCGCGGGGATCTTGAACACTAGAGTAAGAGACTATGCCATTGAGAGTACAAATTTCGTTCCAAATGCATTCGGAATTTTGAGGATTTCCATCAAAATAGTCTCAACTAGTACGAGAACACGACGTTCTACCAACGACTTAAGATAATGCATGCTGATGTGAACAGCTACAAGATTTCGAGTGCAAAACTGCAACTCGGTAGTTGTGTGAATTTGAATGAAATCTCACCTTGAATACTAGGTTCACTGATATTTTGCCTTTATGCAGATTTTAAAAGTGACCTACATTCACGGAGGAAGTTAGCTGATTTGATAAACTCATCTGAAGGGACCACCTATCTGCAAAGAGCAGTGATGTACAAGTGGTCTAGGTACACTGATTATTCCAATCGACCATCGCGACTATGCTGCATGTAGCACATGGAAATACCTCATTCGGAGAGGTAAACTTTTGGATTTGTTTAAGGAACCATTGCGCACAAATTCAATACTATATTCTACGAAGGTTGATTGGTCTGTCTCTACTGGCAACTCCGAGGCCGCCACGAAAAACTAAACTGTTTCAAACGTTTATTTGATCAAGATGTAATCTCGTACGCATGTGACCCACCAACCGAATAACAATCAGCTGGGTGATATTGATTTAAAGCCGAACTTGGCAGTTAGTTAACGCTCATACCCCTCACGGATCCGACACAACACTAATGGTCGGCGCTTTTGATGAAATTCGGATAAGGTACGTGCGATAGCATTGTATGGATCTAAGAAAGAACTGTTTACAATTAACTCGATGAGAATAACGAGACATCCAATCCTGAAGTCCATTTTCGGGCAACATTTAAGGTGACTGAAACAGAGCCTCTCAAATTCAAATTACCTAAGTATTTTGTGAGCAATCGACACCCAATGATCGACCACCCACCACCGGTTTTACCCACTAATCATGTATTTCCCATTTCGATATCGGCTAGACTGGTCACTCGTTAAACTTCTTCGCTGCAGGCTTAGTTGGGAAGCGTGATAAGTGGGAGATTCATTATCAGCTGTATTTTCAATGGGAACTCAGTTGTCCTTAATTAATGTCGGGCTAGAAAAAAGAAGCACACAACCGTCATGAACTGAGTTCGCATTCAAAACGAAATGTTTCTATCCAGTAGAATGTAGTATAAAGTTGGGTGTATGAGAATGTAAGCATTTAATTTTGTCTGTGCTACTAAAATTGCCCTGTTTACATTCCGACTGTCTTTATCTTAAATTAACACACTGTCTGATGCAACACCAAGCGACCCACTGTTGTTTACTTCAAACTATTTTTTTCATTTCGATAAAAAGTACTCGGAGCGATCAGGATTTCCAGAATCATCGGGATTTAGTTTAGCTGGGAACTTTTTTCCTCAACTATTTTCGAGATTGTACAAATTCAGTGGTCTAATTTAAACAGTAGATCTGTAACCAGCAGTTCCGACTGGAGGGGAATTTCATATTTTATCATCGGAAAGAAAATCCGATTATCAGCCAGAAATCGGCTGGTATTTCAAGGGATAACCGAGTTATTTAACACTCTAAAGACTAACTGAGTCAGCGATTTATTGTTTGTTTAGAATCTTGCTCAACTCTTCCTATTTTTTATTGAGGTTATTTGCATGATGAAATGAATGAGTACACTAGAGCATGTAGTCTGGTTCACCCAGTCCTCATTCCACGCCCTGGAATCAAGCATATTTTTTTATAGAAAGAACTGTAGAAGTACGGGGTAAAGTGGATGCGCGAACTGTATCTACATAATGGTTTTTAACCGTCCTCTTTTTCTCCAGTCGTCACTGCACTGACGTTTTACAATACGTGCTACATGACAGGTAATACTTACCGTTGCGGGAATGGATTCACTATAAAAGGTGGCGCTGGCACTCAATTGTGGGCCAAAATATAGGTAAGCAATAGTAGATTCGTTGTTTAGTACGAAATTACAGTCTATTATCATTACATAGACGTGGCACAACTCATAATATTGCTGAATACTCTTTGAAAGTGCACAACCAGTTTCACCCTTTTTGTGTTCATCAGCTAGGAACAGCCCCGGAGTTTCCGTCAAACTTATGTTCTACTCGAATTCAAATTGAACAGACCTCGACAAATACACATAATCAGTTGCTTTTCATGGATGAACCAGATGTACCACTCGCTTATCATGTTCTTCTTCTGCGTAGTGGGCTACGCCTATGCAGTGACAGAATGATACCGAATGATGCTTCCGGCCAACCCAATGACCCACATTCTGTGCTGTGCGGTTGATGGAAAGATATTTTCTCGATTTGATATCTGTCGTACCCTGGCAACGTATTTTGGAATCACTGCAAATGAATGAAACTATAGACAAAACGAGTAGAAGGACCATCTGCGTTGCTCTGTTTTGTGCTTGTGAAGCAGTCTCACTTAGTTTACTTCCCCCAAACCGTAGTCCGCTTGGTTGGCTTTCCGGATTGCCGCCACCAGCGGTCAGATCTCAAGTGGTCTCCTCATTTTCCGTGAGTTTCGCCCATCAAGCGGACCTTGAGCAGATTAGGAAGCGTAGCCAAAGTACAGATTAATTTGACTGTTATCATAGCACCACGGAAAACAGTCTGAATGGGCGACCAACGTGACAGAAGCCAAATGATTGAACGTGGCTCCTTTGTTCCAGTTGTAGCTATCTTCATACCCATTGGCTTGTGTGACTCACGTGGTTAGTGGATCAAGTGACATGCCTGCTATCCGTTACTGATAACAGGTTACCTATTTTGCATTCCGTGCGTTGCTGAATTTAGAGCGGTGATACGTGTCTTAACATGCTGCCTTGCTACTCTGCCGGCAGACCACATACGTGAGCAGAACAGACAACTCACCCACATGGGTTGGGTAATTTGTGTACACCGGATGGACGCCAATCTCACTGGTGAAGGTCTGGAACCATACTGGATGAACCAGAAACAGCTTTGGGTTCCGCTCAGTTGGAACCAACCCATGCGGTTGTTTTTGCCAAAGAAGTTGTTATTCGACCAAACGTTTTACATTTTTTTTCGACAGAACATTATGATTACGAGGTAGAAAATACAGACGGCTTGTCTCACATGCTCACTCCCATTTGGGGCAAAAATAATTATAGAAGTATATAAAACTATCGCTAGCTACGGTGCTTTGATTGCTAGTAGATCAGGTGGGTGTTGATCATTCTGACAAATATCGCAATTTGCCTGCAAAAGTTTCAACAGCACGCTGATGAGGCTCCCAAAAGAGGTCACGAAACATTTGCAAACAAATTGTCCAATTCGGCAAAAATGTTAACGGCCACCTGATTTACATCCAAAGTAAAAAGAT